GGGCAATCCTCACAATGTTTCATTTCAATAGCCACACTGTAGTAGTCCACAGGGTGTAATTGGGAATTCTCTCTCTCTCTCTCTCACTCGCTCACTCACTCACACACACACACCTGCTCATTTTACCTACTTTGTGGGGACGAATGAGACAATTTCCACATCTTTATAAGTTCAGCATAGTTTCAGCTACAAAAACCATTCAGGTATCAAAATGTTCAGCTCTGCTTGTATATATTGCATCTCATCCTTCAGATAATTCAAAAAAGAACTTCAGCCAATTCTTCTCAACTATTTCAACAAAGAACTTCAGCCATTTCTTCTCATCCTTCTGCCGTTTTGGCTATTGATTTCAGGCATTTTCAGAACAATGCATTACAAATCTCGCATCCACACGTGCATTTTTTTCAGGAAATGCAATCTTTCTAGTTATTATAATTATTCTGGTCCAGCATACTTTCAGCTATACAGGCCATTGAGGTCTCTATTTGTTCAACTCTTTAAGGACATCCCTGCTTGTATTTTTCTTTGTTATAACATTTATAGTTTTTAATCTATTCAGCTTTATTTTTTGCAATACAAGTCAATGGGAGCTCAAAGTGCTGAGTCAATAACAGTCTTGGAGTGCCATCTGGTAGTTCATAAACTGACAGCGCCATTGGGACATGCCACCAGATAACGCCTCTCTCTCCCTCCCTCTGTCTCTCTCCCGCTCTCTCTCTCCCTCCCCCCCCCTCTCTCTCTCACACACATGCTCACACCTACTTGTTTTACCTACTTTGTGGGGTCCAATTGGACTATTTTCACATCTTAATAAGTTCAGCATACTTTCAGCTACAAAAGCCATTCAGGTATCAAAATGTTCAGCTCTTCAAGCGCATTCCTACTTCTATTTATTGCATCTCATCCTTCAGATTATTCAACAAAGAACTTCAGCCATTTCTTCTCAACTATTTCAACAAAGAATTTCAGCCATTTCTTCTCATCCTTCAGCTGTTTCAGCAATTGATTTCAGGCATTTTCAGGATGATCTTTCAGCTTATCAGCCTTCACATGCATTTACGACAGGAAATGCATTTCTCTAGTTCAATATGACATACATTAACATTAACATTAAATGTGCCATCCTGCATAATGAGTACTTTTACTTTTAATACTTTAAGTATATTTTGATGCTAATACTTTTGTACTTTTCAAAAAGCAACATTCTAAATGCAAGATTTTTACTTGTAACAGAGTATTTTTACACTGAGTACTTCTTCCACCACTGGAAGTCAGTGCCTGTATTTTTTCAGTTGATCCAAAACTTAAACTAGTAATGTTAACAGAAGGCCAGTAGGTTGTGTTATTAACAGCTGGGTGACCACAGCAAACTGAAGCTAATTATCTGTTAATAGTACGTGTCTCACACCATCTCATAGTGTTAGCTAAATAGTAATTATAAAAATAGTGTAAAGAAGCTCCAGGGTCTGGTTTACATCCAAATACTGTGCACTCCAGCATATTTACTGTCAACAGATACAACATTCACTTCCTCCAGTAAAGGAGACTCTATGAGCATCACACCTGTTGAACAAGTAGAATGCAAATGTGCAGAAATGTGATGTCTTCACCACTTTGCCCACAAATTTAATGCCCACCTGAGAGATAAGGCCTATATAACACAGTAATGTTAAATAAAGATGTTCTTATGTTCCATTATTTAAAACAACCCATAACGTAGTCATGGGACAGGGGTCCTCTTTCATATTATTCTGTGCTTTGCTTCAGTCCTATGTCCATTTGAAATCCATGATCTGAGCATCAGACTGGCTTGTACTAAACTTCTCATTAACAGCTGTAGGCTTTCTAACTGGATCTAGCTTGGCCTGTTTAGCTTCTGATTTCTGACTAGCTTTGCCCTGCTGTGACTTGAAATACTTTAACAAATTTGCATTTTCACTCAGTGGCTGACATAACATTACACTGAAAGTGTACTGGCCTAGTGTGACCTGTGTGGGCTAGTTACATTGTGACATAATTATCCCAGTTGCCTGTTTTAATTGCATTTAATTTTTCAAATTTTAGTCTAATTTGTTGTTGAAAAAAATAGTTGTACCAAAAGTATTACACCTTTTATATATTATTCTTTTATTCAACTTCTATCATATGTAAATGAGATGCCAGTCGGTCAAAATAGACGCCAGTCACAATTTAAGAGGTACTTGTATCTGGACCTGGCTTGTTCTGGCACAAATTAACCCCAGATCCCTGTTTTACCCCTAAACCAACCAGTGAATGTTTATCATTTTTCCTTAATAACTTTCAAACTAACAATGATATCAGCGCCATTCCAAATGCCAACAGTAGGTTTTCATGGTCAAGCAGTATTATGAGAATCAAGCTATTATGGGAATACTACTTTTATGTGTAATGGCATTATGGGGACACCAAGTCGCCCTTGATAGAGGTTGCATTCTCTGAATACTGTTTATTTTATGTTAAGTCATTTCATAGGTTTTTTTTGTAAAGTGTCAGCTTTTTCTTTTGATCCTGCTGCGTTCTTTGCATTTTCTGGTACTTCTAAGTTTACCATATATCTTCTTGGGAACAACTTTGCCATCATAAGCACTGTCAGAAAATATACCTTGTAGTATTTGCTGCTTTATTTTATTTGGGAACATCAACATTGAGTTGCCTTTGGTGGAGGTTACACTCTCTGAGTGCTGTCTAGTTTTCAATGCAAGCCCACACACTGGCGACAAACTGAGACATGTCAAGTCAGGATATGCTAATGTCCTTTTTTGCTCACCATCGACGCTCATCAAAAGAATGAAATACTAAAATTGTCACCCATTTCGGGCCACCCCTAGTGTGTGTTGCCCTTACAGAAAATGGACTAATAAGCTCCTCTTACAGCCCTGATCTAGTTCTTTGAGCAGACATCCTTTGTTGATTTCCATTGCCAGTGATGAAATTAAAAACCACTAATCTTTTCTAAACTGTCCACTTGGCCTCTGTGCACAAATTGAACAGCAGATATCCAATTCAATTTTAAAAGAAGAGTAGCAGCATATACGGTACTGACTGTGCTAGTGCACTGTGACAAGAATCAAGTCTAATCCCTTCTCCATCCCCTGTGCTGTGTTTTGCATCAGATGAGAGAGCACCCATTACGTATTGATGTTTTTAATACCATTACGCAGTAATCTGCGTGTGTGCTACTGTAGTACTGTGCACTGTGAGTGTCTGCCTTACTGTGTGTTGTCACTATGCCAGACACTCAGACTCACAGGTATGAAGGTGAATATTAATCTGGTCATGACTCCAGCTGTCCTGGTGTGGTAGCAGATGGTACAAACAGGAGCCATGTGACCCCAGCTCTCTGTATCTGCAGGCAAATCAAACAAATTGCCTGCCCTATTTTTATTGGGATTCTCAATGAATTACAATAAATGCTGACAGCCCCACTTCTCTGACAAGGAAAACCCACAGCCTCGTCATTACAAAGTATACACTGTTTGTCTACATACTTGCAGAAGAAGGCCCCGTGTACATAACTGTTCAGTTGTATTATTTTGAGATCTTTTATTTAACCATGCAAAAACCTCATGGAGATTAAATCTGTTTTTCAAGCGTTACCTTGACTAGATCACTGTTACAATAAACATAAACAATACAAATACACACTACAGATGAGTGAACACAATGTTGTCCAATATTGTCTACAAGTATCTGAAGGCCTACTACAAAGTAAAACAGAAGAAAAACATTAAAAGTCCCATTTTAGTCTTTTTCGCTTACTGTGCAACTTTCACAGTCCCTTCAACTCTAAGCTGACTTGAATATTCTTTAAACAAAGCGCTCAGCGTTACATCATGTCGGATTTGATGTAGCCTACTACCCAGCGACTCTTCCGTCAGGACGCGTCACGGTTGTGCGTATGTACTTCACCCAAGAAGCTAGAAAACTTTAAACTGGAATAATTATAATGAAGTCTGTTCGTTTTCGCTCTGTTTGGCGAAAGAACAGTCAGATGGGTGCACTGGTCTCTTACCTGTGACATTTGAGGTCTGAGGTTGATTTCCTTCAAGTTGACGGACTGGGGTTTCAGGTTATTGAGTAGATGGCACAGGAGGACCCCATCCCGGAGGGTTTGGGCCAAGTCAAATACCTGTGCAGAGTCCCATGTAACCCGGTGCTCAGCTGGAAGCACCTTGCAGTGTATTAACCACAGCGCGCATTGCCTCCAGAACTCCATCTTTATTCTGACTTCGGCCGGACGAGCTTTAAGAGAATTAGTGAATCTACTGACGGCTCGAGAGTGCGTCGCCTCTTCAATCGTATCCCTACATCCGCAAGCTGTGAAATCCAATGAAAAGGAGCTGGATCACGGCAGAGAACTGGTAGAGGCGCAGGCAGCCTCTCCAAGGATGACAGCTGCTGCAGCGACACGATGGATGGAACGCACCCTGTTCTCACTCTGTCTTCCTCTGTGTCCGTCTCTCTTTCTTTCAACAATTTCTCTATGGGTAAATCTAAACCCCCTTAATTGAATCCACGTTTCCCTCACATGCGTCTCTTCTGTGCATCTTAGTTTCACTCACAGACTGCACATAAAGATGGACAACGTGACAGCTTCCCAGAACTGAAGCCACCACAGTATAGGTCATAAACCCCGCCCCTTCCGTGTTAGTTGATGGCATATGAGTCAAAATAAAAATTCAAACTACAAATCAAATAAAATTTCCCAAAGCTGATTTCTTTAGTTACTGTAGATAATATAACACTGATTTTTGTACAAGAAAAAAAATTCTGCTGAATATGGTTTTAATATAATAGCAGTCCCTGGTAGGCCAGTGGTTAAGGCGCAGCACTCTCGCGCTGCGCCTCAGGGTTGCATCAGGAAGGGCATCCGGCGTAAAACACGTACCAAATGTTGCCAAATGTCAACATGCAGTTGTCAGTGTGATGATTCGCTGTGGCGAGCCCTAAACGGGAAAAGCCGAAAGTGACTTTCTATGGTTTTAATACAATAAGTTTTGGATGACTTGACTGTTTTGTTTGACTGCCTGATACTGCTATTCCAACTTTTCAGCTAATTCAGAGCTGTTATTGCAGCTCCAACTTTGACTCCAACTACAGAGCCTGGTTGCCAAATGTGGTATAAAAACAAAATGGCAGTCCCTGTATTCATGATACTTTGGCTTCACATTTGCATAGTCTACTGACAGAGTGGTAAATGGTCTTATACTTGTATGGCGCCTTTCTATGCTTTTACAGCACACTCAAAGTGCTTTCACATTATTCGGCCATTCACCCATTCGCACTCCCAAGCACTCACGCATTCACACACCGGTGACATCACCGGGAGCAACTGGGGGTACAGTGTCTTGCTCAAGGACACTTCGACATGTTGACTGGACAAGCCAGGAATCGAACCGCTAATTCTGAGCCACAGCCGCCCCCCAAGAGTGGTGAGGCATCATTCCTTTTTATATACAGTCTATGGTTCTGCCCAGATAAGAAGCAAGGAAAAGTGTGAGGAGAGAAGAATCAAAAGAACACCTACTTTCCTCTGACCCCTCATTTCAGGGAACATCTGCTTCTGTGCATCTTCCTGCACAGATGGACCCCAGCATGTTGTTATGATATTCACACAAACACCCTTCCAAATACACACTAGTCCAAACTAGATGAGACAATTTATTGTGTTTTCACAAACTAACAGCTGCTATGACAGCTGAGTCTTTTCAATTCATAAGGCTAATTAACAGTGGCAGAAACTGGCTCTATAGAGGTGTCACCTCTTGTTTGACCAAATTTGTATGTTCATTTACCAAAAGAGCAGAAGTTTAAGGAGGATCTGATCTGGGGTGTGAATACCCCTGGACTGCTCAAAAAGGCTGAGCAGAGACTGTATTTCCTATGGATGCTCAGGAAGAACAACGCCTCCCAGAGACTGCTGGTGTCCTATCGGTGCTCCATTGAGAGCATCCTTACAAACTGTATATGTGTATGGTACAGCAGCAGCACAGTGGCTCAGAGGAAAATGCTCCAGAGGGTCATTAATACGGCCCAGGAGATCGTCAGCTGCCTTCTCCTCACTCTGGAAGAACTACACAGTTCCCGCTGCCTCAAAAAAGCCCAGAACATCATTAAGGACACTTCATACCCAGGACATTCACTCTTCGAACTGCTGCCGTTAGGTAGACGGTTCAAAGCAATCAAATCAAGGACCACTAGATTCAGGAGTAGTTTTCACCCAACTGCAGTTACCACACTCAATGCTGCTAAAATATAATATTCCTGTGTGTGGGTGGGGGGTCTGTTGTTTATTTTATTTTTCTAGCGGTTATATTTTTTATATGGTCTTATTTTATATATGGGGTTTGTTCTATTGCTGTACCGACTGGAGGTAACTCTAAAAATTTCATTGTATGTGTTACAATGACATTAAACATTATTTTATAGCTTATAGCAGATTCTGAAAACTGTGTTTTTCTCAAAACCTCATATGCTTTATTTCAATCTTATATCACTTTAGTGCATTCTTGCATCCACCGTGGTACTATTTTCCTCTATTTACAACTTTTCCACTGTGGGATTGATTCTTTTGCTGCTTTTGATTCTTTTTGATTACCCACACCTGCTCACAACAGTATATAGCAGCTTCTCACCCTGTGGGAAGCTGCTATATTGATTTGGATTGTTACTTGGACTACTGTAGTGTCTGTGTCCTGTGCATTACCAACAGGAGACTAGCCTCGTCTGGCCTTATAATAGAGTCTGCCTTTTACATTGTTGGTATTCTACTGGCCAACCCTGACAGACTCTGTACCCCTCACCAAATTAACCCTTGTGCCTGACCCATCATTTAAGCACACTAACTCTTTTTTATCCATTATCTCTTCAATAGTTTCACCATTAGAGTCATCATAACCCCCCATACTGTGCTGTATGCATTGAAATCTCAACACCAGCTTATTTTCCCCCTCCAACTTTCTATAATTGTTGCTAATTTTCCTTTCTCAAACTTTCCCTTCAGAGAATGATGATATTTATCTGAATTACTTGAACAATAAAGCGTATATGATAGTGATGACATGTTTTGACAAATTCTTGTTTTCTGTTGTCCATATGGTTGACAACTGTTATGACTTTTTGTGGCATGGCTTTTACATATACTGAAGCTATGTATATACAGTATGTTTGGTCAAAACTCTATAATGTTTGATTAGAGAGCATATACTATACTTATCAAAATGTGTTGCCAATGTGTTTTTATTAATGTTGTCAATTGATTAAAACATTTAATCATGATTAATCACACGACTGACTTAGTCAACTTGTGATTAATTGCAAAATTAATCACACTTTTTAAAAATCTGTTCTAAACAGTGGTGGAAAGTAACTAAATTTATTTACCCAAGTAATGTACTTAAGTACAATTTTGAGTTATCTGTACTTTGAGTTTTTTTCATTTTCTGTTACTTCATACTTTGACTTCACCACATTTTAGAGGCAAATATTACCATTTTTACTCCACTACATTTATTTTATAGCTTTAGTTACTAGTTACTTTTCAGAACCAGATTAATACAAACAATACAGTTTAAGACCTCATTGAACCGTGGTGCAAAATCCACAAGCCACCCAGCAATACTTCAAATTAAATGTATATAACCTAGTTAAAACTAGCTCCCCCTTAACCAGCTGCAACACTAAATGTGATGTACACAATAATGCAGTAATATGATATACAGGAATGTGAAATATGCCATTCTGCATAATGAGTACTTGTTAGGAGCCGTTCGCACCAGTCAGTGTGCGAATGAGGAAAGAGGCAGACCCAGGTAGCCGGCTTTGGTGCATACAGTGATTTATTATATACAGTGAACAAGGGAATGATAAAAACACAGAGGGAAATGATACGTAGTCCTGTAGATGAGTAGTAACCGGGTGTTTCTCGATATCTAAATCACTGCACCACTCTCTGATCCACAGACTGATTCATTTTATACTATTTCAGTTTTCAGTTTCACCACCAGGGTTACAGATCCAGACTGTCAAACAGAAAGTCAGACATTCCAAAGTTCTTTATATTAAGGGAATATTTTACTTTACTATGTTGAGAATGTGAGTGCATAGAGAGGTTTTCAAGAAGTACCCTAAACAAACTCTATTCTTAATTTATCTATGTTGGGGGGGCTTCCTGTACATACACTGGCTCCTCAGTCAGTTGGTATGCATAATGAAATGACTGCAGTCAGAGCTGAGTGACAGAACTGGGTCAGTTGGTGTAGACCTTCGCTGGCTGTCAATATTAGGAAAACTAAAGTGAGCTAAAAACAGAAACAATTAGTGCAGGAATCCTTTGCTGTATAAATATAAATTAAAATGAGCTCTGTGGAAAAAGTTTTCAAAATGAGGGAAGTTTGTCTAGAATGGCTTTTAATAAAAATATACCAATGATACATAGAGAGAGAGGCCACTCTGAGTGCAAAACGCAGTGATGGGTGAATGTATACCAAGTCGGCTTCATCAGGAGCTGGTGTGAAGGTGGGAGCAGCAAGCACCTCCCTGGCTTCTAGAGAGAAGCAAGACAAAACCCATCTTCACAAAGTCTTTTACATGCTGCTAAGAGCCATTCATCAAGCTTATCATACTGAACTAGCTCTACAATGAACAGCGGTGCTTCTTTGTGTCTATGACTTCCACGTGTATCATCAACTGTGAGGACGCGAACTCTGTGCCTGGGAAATGCAGCTTCAGCCTCATTATTTGAGCACGCTTTCATGTTAGAAGCCAAACACAAGAACCCTTTTACAGGATTCTCATTTTAAAACCAGTCAGCCAGAAACAGCAAAAAGACAGCCAGACACTTTCAACATTTTCAACCAACTTATGCAGCTGATGTTGGCTTAATTAACTACTAATCTGCTGCTAATATAATTTGCCGGCAACAGCTACCATTTCAGCTGGCAAATTTGAATTTGACAGGATAGAAATTAAACTCCTGCTGTTAGTGATATGAGCATGGACAGAGGGAACTCCGATGTCGGTTTCCGCGGCAGACAAAAGAGGTGGTTGGTAGCCAAGGGAGGCCTGAAAAGGAGAGATACTGGTAGCAGAACAGGTGAGGGTGTTATGGGCGTATTCCACCCAAGGCAACAGCAGACTCCAATCTTCAGGTGCGGAATTGGTGACACAGCGGAGTGCATTTTCCAGCTCCTGGTTCAACCGTTC